TATTATTTTCTTCACTTTTTTTTCCCCTTCAGCTTTTGGGACTTTTTCTGTGTAACCCTGGTTGTCCTGGAACTCACTCTGTAGATCAGGCTGGCCCCAAACTCAGAGATCTGTCTGCTTCTGCCTCCTGAGTGCAGGGGTTAAAGGTATACACCACCATCCACCACTGGGGTTACTTTTAATGCTCATAAGGAACCAGTTCACATTGCCATCTTATGTAGCCATCCCTGACCACGTTTTTATCCACTGGAAAACAGGACAGAGGGACCTCACCTAGTGGGGGGTCCAAGCTGAAAGAACTTAAGAGTCATTTGCCATAATGGGGGGCTTTGTGAAGTCTCTTTTGTTAAAATATAAGTTAGGGGTGTTCAAAAACCATATTGTTTGAAAGCCAGGCCTGATGGAGCATGCTTGGAATAGCAGCTACCAGAGTATGAGGCAAGCAGAGCTCAAGTGTAAGACCAATCTAGGTAACTTACTGAGTCCCTGTCTACACGTAAAAAAGCACAGAGTCCTGGGCAATGAAACTTGGTGGCACAGCACACACCTAACACACATGAGCATCTAGTTTCAATCTCCCGTACTGCACTGCCCACCCCACCCCCATCCCCAAAGGTCAAGAATCCACAGTCCAGTCAGCCCTCGCCAGGGTTCCCAGGGCCAACAGCAGCAGGTCAGTGTCACTGAGTGTCAGGGCTGTGGCAGCTTGCTGGTTCACCTGCTAGGGTTGGGGTGCCATATGCCTCCCCCTGCTGGAGTAGAGCTGCTTCTCAGGTCCGAACACGATACTCTAACAACAAAGTAGTACCAGGCTTGATCAGAGGCCACTCGGCATGTTGGGGGTTGGGGTAGGGTCTTCAAGCCAGATCCTCCTGAGCAGGAAGGCCCCCCCAGACTGCAGGCCCTTCCCAGCCCCAGATGCTGGGGTACAGTCGGACTCCCCAGGCTCGAAGCCAGGGTTCTATCCCCAGCACTGCACAAATCAGGCGTGACAGTGCACACCTACAGTGCCCCCCGCCACATGGATGTTACCTAACCTCAGATCCCTCATCGGTGAAACAGGCCATGGGGTTAACTGAGTTAATCCATGGAAAGCACACAACATGGAGCCCGGCCCGTGACAAAGGCTGATGAAGGTTAGATATTATTGGTTACACTGGTGGTAGCCTGGTAGTATGTGTGAGAGAGCATGCAGAAGGGCTACCGAGGAGCCCTGAAGGTTGAGTACTGCACGAGCCAGGGGGATCAGTCACTCGGTAGCCCAGACAAGGGTACCTTCCTAGGGACGGCATACAACCTGCACAGCAGCAACACTGGCTTTCGGTGCTCTGGGGGACTCTGCTCCAATTTCGAGCCAACAGGTGCCCCTTGGGAGGGATTCTTTTTAATTAAGGAGGCCCTGTGAGGGACGCTGTAGCTCAGAGTTAGGGTGTTTCCCTAGCATGACCCCACATAAGAGAAACACACAGAAGAGAGAGTACCGGTGTGGTTCTGCTCTTGAGTGGTGGACTTTGACCAAATCACTCATTTCTGAGCTTAAATTTTCCCCATTTTTTTAAGCCAGTGTCGAGAAGCCAGGCTAGTTCTGTAAAGCGAGAGGTCTGAGCTACTCTTGGATGAGTAGGAGGGACTCTGATTGGTTAGTCATATCTGCATGGGGTCAGGCAGAGACTACCATGTCACAAGTAGGACCATATCTGCCTTGCTCAGATTAGCTCTGTGGTGGTTTCTCATTCCTGGCTGCTGGTTAGAACCACCAGGAATAAAGGTCTTTGCTTCCAGGGATGTGGCTGGCCACTGAGAACTCGGGTGGCCAAAGTTCCTCATGGTCCCTAGCTTTCCTGACCTTTTGATGTCACTAATATAGGGTCCTGTATTTTTGCACCCCAAAATACCGTCTTTTGCAAACAAAGACGGTTTGTCTTTGGAGCTCCATGTTCTCCGCCAGCAGAGCTGGAAGGGGCATCCAAGTACAACCTCTGATCAGTCCTGCTTCTGAGCACAAAACAGAAACTGAGGGCGTTGCTTACAATCAGGATGTAGATCAAAACCCTGGTTTTGTGAAGCTGAGGAAAAAAAAAAAAAAGCCTGGTCTACTCTGCCTTGAACCCTGCTGTCTCTTTCAAGCCACTCTGGTTGCCCAAGGTGGAACTTGGGACGAAGAGGTCTGCTGAGGCCTAATGAAAGGCAGCACACCTCAAAACCATGGCCACAGCTCTGACCTCCAGACAGAGTGTGAGGGGAGGGGAGGCGATGAAAGCTGGTGGGGCCTCTGGGCTCCAGGGGTTGGGGGCTCCTGGGCCTGGAGGTGCTGCACTGGGATGTGGGCAGCCCCGGATGCTGATTGCACCTCCAAATGAGGAGAGGCGATATAGGCAAGATGTTCTGGGAGTCCACCTGGCTTGGCCCCCTTCAGGGGACTTAGCATCCAGCCAGCTTTCCTCGGTCCCTCCTGTCACCCAAGCCTAGGGATTTCCTGGAGTGGAGGTCATGCAAGCTGGGCCTCCTGATGGGACACGGCTGGCTCCCCTTGGAGCAACGTAGAAGCAATCAAATCACATAGAATTCATCATATTTTAAAATAAGCTTTATTTAGATTTTTTTTAATATTTTATATTTTGCATCCATGCCTTCGAGAAACCTCTCCCACGGGAAAAGGTCATTCTCATCTATAGTTACCCATAACTCATTCGCTATTTGACGTGGTTCTCTCAAATAAATCATTCTTAGTAACTCTTAGGATGATCTCCTAATTTCCAAAAAACTGAAATGAAAAGGAACGACTCAGTCATTACCAGGAGAGGTTGCAATCTTGTTTTCCTTTCAGTAAAAGGGAGGGTGTGGACCATTAAAAAAATAATAGTAAAATAAAACACAAAAATTCAATGGGAGGAAAAGTGTTTCCTAAGACCTCCCCCTGATGCCAGCTCTGGCCTCCCTCCCTCACCATCAGGCTGGGCTAATCAGCTGAGCTGAAAGGGACACGGGAAGCTCGTTAGGTGTCCTGCCTGCTCTCTCTCAGCCTTTGGGCTAGGTTGGGAGGGAAGAGGGGACCTGATGGGGGCTTTTTGGCTTGTTTTAGAGACTTTGGGCACAAGATCCTATACATTCCAGATGTTCCATCCAGCATTGAAAAAAAAAATCTCTTTTAAAGAGTTGAGAATGCTATTGTTAGTGGGAGTGCCACAGTGGCCATGAGGGGCGTGGACTGAGCTGTTAGTGGTTAAGGATCAGTAGAAAGGGGATCGTGGGACAAAAGAATGGGGAAACTGAGTTTTAGGGGTGGGGAATAACTGGCTGGAAACCCTGGGTTCCCCATACCCTGGTGAAGCCCTGTGGGGTCAATGCTGCTCCCCAAATAGGCACAGGCATCCGCCATCCCTCATGGGACGAGCCTGCTTAGGCTGCTGACAGAACTGGAGGACGGGGCTTTGGGAATTCCAAGAGAGTCCATGTTTGGCTGAAGAAGCCGACTGGAAAAAGAGGGCAGAGGGTTCACCTGCCAGATAATTCTCCCCAACAGCCCTTCCCAGAAGGTGGGCATCTTCTCTGTTGACAACTGTCTGGCCCATGTGTGGAACAAACTAAGGATGGAGAGGCATGTATGCGTGCGTGCGTGTGTGAAAGTGTGTGTGTGTGTGTGTATGTGAGTGTGTGTGTGTGTGTGTGAGCGTGTGCCACCGGAGGCCTCTTACCCAGCTGACTCAGGCGCAGATGTCTGGCCAGACCCTATGGATGTGGCCCAGGCTGACCTCCCTGGACTCAATCAACATGGCTCCAAAGACAGGCCAAGGAGAAGAGGAACATGATCGTCAGTGTTCTGCTCACTGAAGCCACGTTCTCTATGTCTGATAAATAAATATATATAGAGAGAGAATATATATAGAGGAAGGCCAGAGCAGAAGGCGGGGTCCTCTCATGCAGGGACAGCAGCCGGGAGAGACAGAAAGGAGAAAAGAGAATAAGCAAGCTGGCCACCTGAGGTCCCCAGTTCTAGACACCCTAATTCTACCTCGCACAGTGTCTGCAGCGGCATGAACACAGAATAGACAAGTCAGCAGAAATGCCCGCCTCCCGCCCACCCTGTGGAAAAATAGACATTCCGATATTCACGTAATAATTTAGATAGAATACGTTTTCTGCATTTGTGCAAATAAATTAAATGCAACAGTTTTCTTTCTCTCTTTTTGTTCCATAAAGAAAGAAACAGCAACACAATTTAAAAACAGGAAGGCCATTAAAAAGAGCCTGTATGACCCCTATAAACACTGAAGCCCAGCCAAGACTTCTTGGTTGGGCTCACGAGTCTCTGCAGAGTGACCTTACCCTGACAACGATGGCGGGGTGCTTTTGTGGTTAAAGTGACTTGGGCACACCCCGAGAACAGGGTCTGGTCCCACATGTTCACACTGAGGGGTCGGGAGGAGGGGGCCATGGAAGACAGACCATCTCCTAGGCGACATGGGTTGCGGTAGCGGCTGGACGAGGGACTTTTCAAGGACAAAGAGCACACCACTCTTGTTATTTACAAATACACAGCAGTCCTTCAAGTGTTCAAGTTTCATAAAAAGGAGGAGGGAGGAGAAAGGGGGGAAATTAAAAACGAAAATACGACGGATTAAACAAACAAACAACTCCCCCTACCAAAACATTGAAAAACAAAACAAACAAGAAAAACAAACACAACTGTATCGCTCGGAGACAACAGAGTTGACAAGAGTCACACACGGTTTGTGGTATGTACATCGGTTACAGAGGTGGCGACGCGGAGGGGGGCGGAGTCACTTGTGTTTCTGCTTGTTCTAGGTGCTCGGCTACACACACCCAAGTGGGTGAGCACACCCGTTCACACGCACCCCACGCAGACCCGCACCCCCATGCACATACACTCGCACGCTCCATGGCTCATCCACACACAGACATGCCCACAGACAATGGGCGAAGGGCGGTGGGTTATCACCAGTCCGCGTCTTCCTCTATGTAATAATCGGGGGCGGTACCATCAAAGAGGCCCGGGTCGAGGGACTTCCGTTGCTTCCCTCTGGCGAAGACGCGAGAGATGGAGCCGAATCCCATCTTCTCTTTCTTCTTTTTCCGTTTTTGGTCTTCAAGATCCTCTAGTGACTGAGGGAGAGGGGAGAGGAAAAGAGGTAAACCTAGGCTCGCAGGAAGGATAGTGGTGGGTGGAAGGGCAGGGAGGAGGCTTTCCAAGGTCACAGTCCAGGTCACAGTGAGGGATGGAGGGCCCGGATAAGAAGCTGGGCTAGCATTATCAGCATCCTAGGGGTCTATCCCTTGTTCTCTGAGAAAACCCAGGTTATTTTCAAAGCCTCTCATTGACAGTACCAGGACCATTTCAGATTGTCCTGAGTGCATCTCTGATGTAAAGCAAAGAGACTCAGGATGGATCCTGGTTTGTCTGCCACATAGTGGCCAGGAGTTGATCCAGCTGCCTGGACTACCACTATCACGTAAGTTCACTTTGCAGATGTAAGGGCTTGCAGGGACATACCCATGAACTTGACCACTGCCTGTGGTCACACTAATGCAGGGTGGACAGACTGTGTGCAGAACTGACGCACTAACACGTGCTAAGTGTGAAACAGGGCCCGTCTAAGGAGCTCTGACGATGATCTTATACCTGGGGGTTTGGGGTAGCACCTGCAGAGAGTTCACAAATAGCCAAATGTCCAATGCAGTGACATGTGGTTGGTATCACCTACAGAAAGGGTAAGGCAAAACCTAGACTCAAGGCTCACAGGACACTTTAGAATGTCCTGGAATGCAGCCCCTGCCCCCAGTCTGTACTGGAATCTCCACTGGGCGGGGCCTAGGAATTTGCATTCAAGATGTATGTAGTCTTCTCTAGGGAAACCCCATGCAGATAGATGGTGCAGAGTCAGAAAATGGGAAACATCTTAACAGGAGAGATGCTGCCCTCAGGGTCTGCTCTGTGTGCCTTTCTCACACTGATGACAAAAAAGCCGGTAGACCAGCAGCAGCCAGGGGCGCCATGTGTCCACTGCCTGTGGTTCAGGTGCCAGAGCGCATGTGACTCAAGGCGGGGTTCAATCCCTCTCTATCGCGGGAGTTCAAAACTGGCATTGGGGTGACTGAAGGTTCAGAGCACCCAGACTGGAAGAGGTTGCAGAATATTCCTTTACACTGTCCGAAAACGTGTCACTGTGATTGGTTAATAAAGAGCTGAATGGCCAGCTGGACAGGAGGAGGTTGGCGGGACTTCTGGGGACAGAGAGGACTCAGGGAGAAAGAAAGGTGGAGTCACCAGCCAGAAGTGGAGGAAGCAGCATGGGCCGTACAGAGTAAGGGTAATTGAGCCACATAAAAGAATGTAGATCTAAAAAAAAAAAAAAAAAAAATGGGCTAATTTAAGTTATAAAAACTAGTTAGAAACAAGCTAAGCTTTCATAATTAACAATAAATCTCCATGTCATTATTTGTGAGCTGGTGGCCCAAAGGAAAACCCGTCTATGGAAGAGGGTCAAGCTGGGGTGGAGGGAGGATGCGGGCAGCCAGGGAAGCCGTACCCACCTGTACAATAGGACTGTGCAGGCTCTTCTGAACCGGGCCGGGACTGTCGCCCTGTAGCCAAAAGAGAAGAAGATGAAGCAGCAGACTCGTGACACAGGAGAGCCTGGGTGGCCCGTGAGGATGGGGGGCGGGAGAGGGTCTTCCCTGGAAGGAAGCCACCAACTCCTCCAGGGCTGCCCGGCCTCCACAGGGGATGGAGATCCTTACCCTCTGGCATTTCCACACAGCTGACTGATGGGGCCCAGGGTTCATTAAACATCAGATCAGCGACCCCAAGAAACTCTCCTGCCTGCTCTGACCTCTGAACCCTTAATCCTTTGAAGTTTAAGTTCCTGCCTGTGGTCCATGTGTTCAAATGGGAGGTTGGTTCCGCTTGGTTTTTTGTTTGTTTGTTTGTTTAAATAAAGACATCAGTTTTAATGGAAAAAGCATCCCAAGGGGGAGGGAGTTGAGATCAGTGACAGATGCTCGCCTAGCAAGTCCTGGGTTCTGTTCCCTGAAAAGGGGGGTGGGAATATAACAGCAAATTAATTGACTCAGGAGACCACGTGGTCATTAAAATACCCCGAAACCAACACAGCAACTCCTGAAGTCTGTGGCTGTTGGGTTTAGGCACAAGCAGGGGTCCGCCTGCAATCTCTTACAGAGCTAATAACAAGCAGAGCTGGGACTCAGATTTGGGGTGTCTGATTTTTCCTGGCTCTGTGTTTTTTCTAGGCAGGGTTCCACAGCAAGTACACACTGGGTCCTGGCTGCCTGGAAACCTGCTCACACACATCTGGACTCTTTTCAAATTCTTGGGAACATCAGAGAGCCTGTGGGTAGGTAGGAGATTTCTATGGGTTGTCAACTACGTCCCAGTAGGTGGGACATTTCCATGGGTTGCCAAATGTGTTTCAAATGGGTAGGAAAGGGGCCCTTAATATAGCCCATGAAGGTACAACAGTTTTTACTACATCTGTGAATCACGACTGCTCTACCTAGAAGCAGAAAGCACACTGAGATTACAAAAGGCATTGCTGAGGAGACTCCTGGTGGTTGTTTCTGGAATTGCAGGCATGGAATCGCCCATGAAGAAATAGATGCAGACCAATATCTCGATGTACAATTTCCCTGTACTGAGGCTTCACTTTTACTCTAATTAATGGTCAGAATGCGAGGTAATCTTTAATCCAGTCTTGTTGATCTTGTGGTACCAGGTGAGATCCCTGAGGACAGAGGGCTACTGCCATGTGTCTTATCTCTCCAAACCCCCTTTATTCCACATCTCAGCAGGTGTGCACATATGTAAAACAGTGGCATGTGCTGAGGCTAGGAAGAGGTTGGCCTGTGTCAAATGCTGTCTGGGAGCTGGGAGTCCTACTGTGGGTAGATCTGTCAGCAGCATTTCCCCGAGGTCACTAGGAGAAGGTCAGCGTGGCCCTTAGGAAGATGCTCCTGCTTGGGGGTGAACACTGCCTAGGACTGGGACTCTCCACCTGCATGGTTCGGGCAGGGCCATGTCCACTATGGTCCTTTCAATTGAAAAATGGATGAGAGAGACCTTGGAGTGGTTCCCCTTGCTGTCTTTGGTCTGTCAGCCTCATCCCTAAGACTGTGGACAGAGATCACACTGCTTTGCACAGCCCCTGGAAAAGAAGGGACCCTAGCCCTGCCATGGGCAATGTGTAGTTTCTGGGCCAGTAATCTCACCCAGGCAGGCTGTGATGCCTTCAAGTTTAGCCTTAGTGATTTTGTGTATGTGCGTATGCACGCAAGTGTACGTGAGTATCTGAGTGTGTGTGCAGTCCAGAGGCTAAGATCAGCGTCATTCGCAGGAGCCATGCCATTCGCTGGATCCTCAGACAGGACCTTTCACTGGCCTGAGCTTGCTGATAAAACAAGGCTGGCCGGCCAGGGAGGCCCAGGGATCCTCCTGTCTCGACCTCCTCAGTGCTGGGCTCACAAGTGCACAGCCCTGCGCCTGGCCTCTTTATGTGGATTATGTGGACACTCATCTCTTCATGTTTGCACAGCAAATGCTTCAACAACTGAGCCATCTCGCCAGCTCTTGGGTCATAGCTACTTTAATAATAAGCACTTTTCACGCTTACTGCGGATGGGGTTCCCCTCTCGTCCGTACCCAGGCAAGTCGCTGTTATTAATAACCTTATGTACTTGCTTATTATGGGTTCTCATAGCATGTCCCTCCCCTGAGTGTCCTGAACAAATGCTCACACAGGTAGCAAGTTCTGCTGGTTAATAAAACAATGCTACCTTGAGTTGCTAAAAATGCCTCCCCAGGCTGGGGAGATGGTTCAGGAGTTAAGAGCACTTGCTATGCCCACAGATGACCTGATTCAGTTCCTGGCACCCACATGGTAGGTCACAATTCCCTGTAAATCCAGTTCCAGGGGAATCTGATGCCTTCTTCTGGCCTCCACACACACCATGCGCACACATGGCACACTAACAAACACATGTAGGCGGAACACTCATGCACATAAAATAAAAATGGAGAAAGAAAGAAAGAAAAATCCTTCTTATGCATCTGAAGATACTTCAGTGTGGCACCTCTGTCATTAGGACATGGCAGGGAAGCCCTCTGGGTTACCCATTATGCTGATGGGACAGAAATCTGAAGTGCTCCCACCTCTGACTTTCCATTCCTCTTGGAGGCTGACATGGTTTTCAGCCATCCACTGATGCTGGGACCACCAGCCTAGGAGCCTGCAGTGGCGGGGCTATGGCTTCAGAGCATCTTCCAAAGGTTTGCTGGATTGAAAGCCTGGTCCCCAGTGTGACGATGTGGGAAGTAATGGAGCCTTTAAGAGCTGAGCATAACGGGAACCATTTCTTTCATCAGCTTCCCAGCCTCATTCATGCTGTTCTTATTGAACAAAAAGCGGACTAGATAGAGCCTACCTGGAGGACTCATGTCTTTTAGCTGCTGGGGTCAGTACATAATTATTTTTTTTTTAAGAAAAACAACTTTTTGTTGTATGTGAGACAAATTCACAGGGCCTCTCTGCAGAGGCCAAACGTGTCCCAAGCTACTGGAATCTCAAAACTAAAACAGCAATCAATCTGTTTCAATCAGGGTGAAGGGTGGGAGCCGGTGCGACAGGGGACAGGTGGTCCTGTAGTCAGGCCCAAGGTCCCAGGCAGGGCCCAAGATGGGGTGCACCTGGCGGGGTTCCAGGCTGCGCAGACCCTCCTCGCCCTCCCGGACACAGGAAGAAACAGGCCTCATTTCTTTCTCTCCCCACATCCACTGCTTCTCGCATAAGGAAAGAACAGAACGGGAAATGCCTTCGCCACAGCGTTCCCTGGGTGGACGAGAGGAAAGAGGGGGCACATCTTTATCCCACCCCACGGCCCCGCCATGTCTGGGCAGGGCCCCAGTGCCCAGGCCCTGCTGCTGCTGGCCTTACGTTGCAGAGGGAGTGCGTCCGGTGCCGTGGGGAGTTGATGTCGCTCGGTGTGGATGACCGGTCCCCTTCAGCAGCAGAGGCATCGGAGATGACGGAGGGCTGCCGTGAGTGGCAGGGGCTCACCCTGACCGCTGGAAAACAGGGACGGCAGGTGAGTGGGCGACATGGGAGGGACCACCTGATGCACCCATTATAGGGACAATGATGCTGAGCCAGAGGGAAGGGGGTGTGGTGGCCAGCTCTTCCCTTCTGCACCACAGCCCTGCTTGTTCTCGGGGTGGCTGCTGGGGAGACCCTCCCCCTTCATTTTGACCCATCTCAGCCCCTCCTCACCTGGGGGGAAGTCAGGGTCTATAAAATCTCACCCGAATCGATTGAGACACTATGCAACCCTAACCACAGCTCAATAGCAGAGTCCCGGACAAGAACCCCCCACCCCCACCCCAAGCTATGGCCAGCTCCGTTTTTTCCCCAGTGTTCCTGAAACACAGCCAAGTCCATCTACTCTCCTAGCCCATGGCAACTGCCATCTGTTCCCTTGAAGACCAGGGTGGCCTCCTTGCCTCTACTACTCACACTGAAGTCAAGAGCCAGTGGCTTTTGGCCATGGTCAGGGTAGAAAGCATGCCCCTCCTGGCTGGCCTATGAAGCCTGGCGTGCATAAAACCTGGGCACCTCAGCAGCCAGAGCTCAGTCACTCACTCCCTGCGACACTTGTGCATGCATGCATGCGGAGGTCAAAGGTTGACAGGTGTCTTTCTCTATCACCGTTTTTTAAAACTCGCTTTTATTATGTATATGTGTGTGTCATGCTTGCACGATGGCTTGTGTGTATGTACACCATGTCTGTGCAGTGCCCGTGGAGGCCAGAAGAGGGCAGCAAATCCCCTGGAACTGGAGTCACAGGTTGCGAGACTCCACATGGGTGCTGGGAACTGAACCCAGGTTTCTCTGCAAGAACAGCCATTGATCTTAACTATGAGCCACCTGCCCAGCCCTATCTACCTTGCTTTTGGAGTCAGGGCCTCTCACTGACCCTGCAGCTCACCGAATCAGCTAGACTGGCTGGCCAGTGAACCCCGGGACCCCAATCTTCATTTCCTTAGGGCTGTGATTACAGGTGTACACTGTCACGCCCAGCTTCTTCTGAGGTCTGAACAAGAGTCCCCATGCTTCCGCATCCAGAACTTTCCTAGCTGAGCCACCCTCCCAGTCCCCTTTGCAGATCTTATTGCGGGACATTATTTACACCCACATTGTCCGTCTGGGACCAAGTGCACCATGGGTCCTTGGACGCATTCACCTCCTGGACTTTCAGGGTTGGCTCATCGTAGACACTTAAAGTGGTAGATAAAAGGTGTCTCCCAGAAGTCATAGCTCAGAAGACCACTGGACGCTGCTACAGATCTCTCCCCTATGAGAGTGCTAGTACCGCATAGAGAGATCATTGTTACCTGGGCATTCACTCCAGGCAGGCACTCCTGACAGACTGTCCTTGCCACCAGTGACCATGTGGCTGCGGGCTGGTGGCTCTGAATCAGTTCTAACCTGGCCAATTCCTTTATAGGCTGCATGGTCCAGGGCATGTTCCTCACCCTCTTGAGCCAATCTGATTGTCTGAACCATGGAGGTGCCTGTGCTGGTTGGTTTTCTGTGCCGACTTGACACAAGCTAGAGTCATCTGGGAAGAGGGACCCTCAGTTGAGAAACTGCCTCCTTATTGGCTGATAGGCGTGTGTGTGTGTGTGTGTGTGTGTGTGTGTGTGTGTGTGTGTGTGTATAAGGGCATTTTCTTGATTGGTGATTGGCTCCCTGTGGGTGGTGCCACCTCTGGGCTGGGTGGTATAGGAAAGCAAGCTGAGGGAGCCAGGAGAAACGAGCCAGGAAGCAGCGTTCCTCCATGGTCTCTGCTTCAGTTCCTGCCTCCAGGTTCTTGCCCTGAGTTCCTGCCCTGACTCCTCTTCATGAGGTTGTGCACTGTCAGATGGAATAACCCTTTCCTCTCCAAGTGGCTTCTGTCACGGAGCTCGCCACAGCAACATAAAGCAAACTAAAACGGTGCTGGTGATGGCCCTTCTGCAGAGCAGTGGGGTAGGACATGGGCCTGCTGTGGTGTGTGTTGTAGGGAGGGAGAAGGGGGCACGTGCCAAAGGCCTTGCCAGCGATGGCCTGGTGTGGAGGTGGGTGACCCCGTGCAGGTAAATACCGAGTTAGAGAAGAATAGACGAGCCTGGGGCACAGCCAGGGAGAGGGCTCGGAAGCATCTCTGAGGAGACATGCTTACTAAAATGATCCGAGCTGGCTGCAGGAGAGGCAAGGTCAGCAAAGGAGGAAGAGTCCAGAGGGCGGAGCCCGTGATCTGGCTAACCACAACTCAACATGAGCCCCACCCAGGCAAGGCCCTGCAGCTGCAGGAAGGGTGACCCATTAATTCCTAAACTGTCGCAGGTTCTGTCTACCCTACCTTCACCCCACCTTCGGCAGTACCTCTGCCTCCTGCCACCAAGGTGGACCAGAGGCTGGGGAGCCATCTGCACACCTGGATCTTGGGACTGGCCAGGTAGTTAGCTATCCCTGGGGTTCAGCATCCCTGCTGACCGGAGGCTGAGCTGGACTTATGTTTGATAAGGTCTTCAGTTCTGACCTGGCTTCAAAGGACTGTTGTATCTCCCCGCACCGCCCTGGCAGTTGGGGGAATCCCTGCTTGGGTCAGCAGAACACGGCTGCTGCCTCAGATTAGCGGAGGCAGGTTCAAGGTCTGTGTAGAGAAAGGAGTCTAAAACCCTGTGTATCCCCTGTCAGTGCTGACAGGAAGGGGCAGTTAATATTTACCAAGGCCCTGACTTGGGAATTCTGTACACTTTACCTTTCTGGCAACCCTGGGAGGGAGGGCTCAGCAAACAGACATGTAGTACACACTGGACATTAAGAAAGAATCCAGCATTCCTCATACCAGACGAACAGACGACTCTTGTGTCGGGGTCAGAGGTCATAATATGATCTTAGTGTGAACCTGCACCTCTATCACTCCGCCTGCAGTTCAACCGCCTTACCCTCCACGCTCCATCCACAGGCAGCTCAGGACCTGTGTAACGGTCTGTGGGCCTGTGTAACCAGCTGTGGGCGCCTGGAGGGCTGGCTTCACTACAGCCCCTACAGGAACCCATAACAGAGTCAGGTGGCTCTCCCTGGTGCACAGTGGGATGGCAAGGAGTCTGGAGAGTATACCACAGTGGGTGTGGACGCCAGGCACTCTGCTAAGTACCCAGAGCAAATGCATGTGACATTTATACATTTTCTATATAACCTATGAACTACTACAACTGTCATCCAAGAAGACATGTACCCTTCCAGCCAAAGGATGCCGGGGGTGACTCAGGTTGACTAATCAGAGCACTGGCCCTCCTAGACATTTATTCTGGGGTGGCCATGTAACCCAAGCTGGCCGATCAGGGTAATTAGCTCTCCTTAGGCCCAGTTGAGCCTCTGGACTCAGCTGGGCCTGAAGCCCTATCTCTTAGAGGGTTCAGTTACGAGCGCGAGTCATGGTCTGTTCTGGGGAGGGGGGGGGGCAATGAAGTGTGAACAAGGAAGCCGCCTTTCCCACTGGGCCCAGGACCAGGCTGGGCAGGACTCACCTTGCCGGTCTGCAGGGTGGGGAGGGTGGGAGTGGTAGAGTGTCTGCTGGCTCTGACGGATGGCAGCAGTCAGTGGGAGGTCAGCCTGAACCACCCATTCCTGGTTGCCATTGAGCACCGTCTCGCCGGGCATGGCGAGTGAATGCCGCTTGGGAACATCCTTGGTCAGTGTGGCTAAGGACTGCTTGGCCTGAAGCAAGAGTGGGAGACAGGAAGAAGAACATGTAACCAGAGGGGACCTCTCATGCGGTTGCCCGGGTACCTCTCACCAGCCATGTGGTGCAGGCCATGTACCTGTAATACAGGTCTCCCCCACCTCACCGAGGACTCATCTTCGGCTGTCATTAAGAGCAAAGTGAGACCCCCGTGTCGGGAAGAAGGAAGCAAGCACACACTCATCACTTCTGGGTTTTCTCCAGGGACAAGTAAGGATTCTTTGTGGGTGCATGTATGTGCACGTGTGTGCCCCTGTACACGCATGCACGTGTGTGAAGGCCGCAGGTCAACATTAGGTATTCCGCAGGAGCCACCCACCTTGTTTTTGGAAACATGGCCTCTCGCTGGAGCTGGCTGATTACATTGAGGGTGGCTGGCTAGCTGGTCCCAGGGATGCTGCCTCCACCTTTACCACATGACCCCTTAGGCACTAGACCCGAGAGTCTCTCATGCTGTCCACACAGGACTTGAAATCTCTGAGAAAGATTTCCAGAAAGGAAAGAAAGAAAGGAAATCTCCTGGGCAGAGGTAAGCTTCAGGGGAAGCAGGCATGTGTACCTTCAGGCTGTGCCCGCTCAGCCTGAAGACCATTTCCCACTAGCCATCAACACAGCATGTCTGACTAATCACTTCCACTACCTACAACTCAACGCTGGAAGTTCCTCTTGACCTCTGACCCCCCCCTCCTCTCTGGGTCCCTACCTTCCCTTGAGCACCCTGAACCTGGAGCACTGAGCTCCTGGGGATTTCTGAGTTGGGAGGACTGTGCTCATGTGACTACAGTCCAGCTAGAGACGGGCTTGACCTCTGCTGCTCTGGAACTTGCTGTGTGACCTTGAGCATCCCCTGACTTCCTACTGCATCTGCAGGTCCTGACTTCCTTCCGGAATGCCCATGTGCTTCTGTCAGGCTGAGCTGCCCTCTGTTGTTGAGGATCTCTGCGACTTGTGCTCTCCGAGAGGGTTGCCCGAGTTGGCCTTGACCTCAGAGCACAGCACAGCCTGAAGTCTGTCAAGGGATGACGGGGATATGCTGCCAGAGGGACACCTGGAGGAGAGGGGGCCACTGCGGGTCCGTGTAAAGCACTTCCCTCTGCCTCTAGGAAGGCTCGAAGCCTGTAGCAGCAGAGGGTCTGGAGGGAGGAGGGAGGAGCTGAGTTTCTGGCCGGAGTAAAGCAGGCTCAGTTTCAGTATGTTGGGAGCAGAAGCCAGAGGGGCTAGTTCCTAGTCCAGGGAACAGCAGGGAACCCATCAGACACTGAGGCGAGGGCTCAAAGCACCAAGATGGGCTTCATCTATTTGTCCAGAGGGACCTAGGTAATCTGGGCACACAGGGTCATTCCCACCCGTCCCCTAAGGGCTGCAGGAAGTATCAACAAGCCATGAAGTGGAGGTAGTCTTCCTGCCTGGAAGGCTCTCACCACTAGGGGTCAGCATTGCACAAGGCAGCTGAGGGGTTCAGGGTAGCTTCACTCTGGCTGTGCAAACTCTCCTGCCATCACCTTCTACAGAAGCCATGGTAGCTGTCTCCTCCTATTTCATCCTCCCTAAAGCCCTACAGGGCCGATGCAAGGATCCCCAAGTAGAATGGAGGCTGAAGAGGTCAAGCATCCCCACGGAGGTCTGTAACTGCACTGGCTGGCGCCGGCACCCTGCAGAACTATAGCCCACTACTAAAGAGTCACATGAGGAGGGTGGGGTGCTGGGATGGGGAGGGGTGGCTTTAAGATGGCTCATTGGGTAAGGATGCTTGCTGTCAGCCTGATGATCTGAGTTCAATCCCAGGATCCACATGGTAGAAAGAAAGAACCAACTCCAACAAGCTGTCCTCTGATGTCTCTCTCTCTCTCTCTCTCTCTCACACACACACACACACACACACACACACACACACACACGCAAATGTAATCAGAACAAAATAAAGAATCAACAGGAGTCACCACGCAACTTCTACAGGCCCCTGTCACACTGGATCCAGGGTGTGTTCAAAGGCCCTCGTAGCTTTGCGGCTTTGCGTGCTCTGGCTATACCTGACCACGTCACGGGGAAGGCGGGGTGAAATGAAGACCCCTGTCCTAACAACCGAAATGACACAGGGGATGGCTCAGGTCACACTGGCAGCTAGGGCTGAAGTCTGGGGCGCATCCACCTCTGTCAGACCCCTGAATACGCTCTGGTCCCCACACACGTGCCACATGCCTTTTTAAAACATGTCTTCTTGTTTTGATGGATTTCCGTGGTTTCCGGTTATTAAAAAACAACAAATCCATCTATTTTTCCCTTGATGACTTAAGAAAGACAATTTTGCTACAAATACATTTGGACCAAAAGCCTTTAAATATCCTACATAAGTAAAGAGTTGATACACATATAGGTATATGTTGCATGCATGCATATAAATGTATATATGCACAGATAGGTAGATACTGCCATTTGTAATCCTAGACTCAGAGATGTTAATACTTCTTGTGTATTTCTTTCCAGACAGTTTCCTCGAACAATTATGATTATTTTGAATCAAAATATGTCCTCCCATCTCCCTACTCGATAGCAGCCACTGGGGGAGTGTGGTCAAGCGAGGCCTCCTAGGGTCCCTATGCTCCTGCGCTTGAGGAAGTCCCCAGATTGTATCACGTAGTCCACTGCTCTCCCTTAGCCTCATGACTGTCCCCTCCCCCAGGGGCTTTGGGCAGCCCACATTGCTCCTCAGTTGTCAACCTCAAAGCTCTAGTAATGGCCTGGGCCACTCCAGGGGACAGTGAGCTCACCATGGCTAGCTCGGCCTCCAGTTCCTTCATGCGGTTGTCCTTGAGGTCCAGCTGGGAGCGCAGAGCCGCGGCGTGGTCTGTGGCCTCCTTGGCCTGCCGTCGCAGCTCCCACTTCTCTCTCTCCAGCAGGTCCTTCTCCTTAGCCAGCGCTTTGACGGCATCCTCGCTCTCCTGTGGTGGGGATGAGAGAGAGGGGTGGGTTGCAGGGTGGCACAGGGTGGAGGGCTCCTCGAGGTGGGCAGGGAAATGGGGAGGCGCCGGCACGTGGCTGGAGGTCCCGGTGGGAGATGGGGAGGCTATGGGGTGTGAATCCTGGACTCCTTCAGAGAGCACTTTCCTGATGAGCAAACCTGGGTGATGCACGTCTCCATAGAAACGGGGGCGGAGTAAAACAGGACTGTTTTCAAAGATGGGACAATTTCATAGGGGGAAAACCAAGTGTGATCTGGTGAAAGGGTTTTTTGGTTTGTTTTTGGTTTGAGGCATTTTGTGTTTTGAGTCAGGGTTTCTATGAAATCCAGGCTTGTACTTCTGATTTTTTTTGCCTCCAATTCCCAATGGCTGGCCCAGTTTCTGTGGTGCTAGGGATACCCAGGGCCTCACACAAGCCAGGCAATCACTCTGCCAACTCCACTCCACATTCCCAGCTCCTGGGGCCGTTGTTCTTGCTTGATGAACTATGTTGGAGCAAAATGGGTACAAGAAAGCACCTGAAGTGGTGACTATCTGGGCCGCCACTGCACAAGGCCACAGCTGATGGGAGACTCAGTAGCCTGTCCTTCTCACATCCACAAGGAAGGAAGTTCCTGTGGCCTACATAGGGCTCTCTCTGCTTCCTGCATGAACCATGGATCCCAAGAGGGTGGTGCCAGTCAGGTGTGGGGCAGGCCCCAGAAAGACTTGTGACTGACCCTGACCTCTGAGCAACTGTGTTCCTAGAGGGCAGTTCTGGGGGGAACCCAACCCATCCTACCAAACCACCACACCTAAAGCTGATCTGAGGGTGTGCCACGGCCAGGTGCAGAGGACAGTGGCCACCATCCTGTCCGACATGAAAACTCTGTACTTAAAGGTCAGTCAAGATGGCCAGACCAGGTGGCAAAGCGGGACCAGCTTTTCTTCATGGATGCGGCTTCCACAGTGTACAGCCGTGGTTGAAGTTCTTAAGAGAATCCTGGCTCTGCAAATACCTACAGGTCAGCATGGCCTCAGTTTCCCCATCTGCTCTGGCTGCATTTTGAGATATCCCTGTGACCTGCAGCTCAGTCCAGAAGCTTCTCATTCTCTAAGGTCCCTGTCACTCCTCCTCTTCCAAGAAGCCGTCCCAGATCACCTGCTTAGAGCGACCACCTAGTGCCCTCTCCAGCCCTTCCTCATACTGACGCTCAGTCCACCAACAGAGACCTGAGGCAGACACAGACAAAGCTGTGCTTGTATGATCCAGAGCAGAGCTGACCACCCCTGGGAGCTAGGTAAGCAACACCCCTGGGAGCTGGCTGGTGATCTTGGGTTAGGAGAGAGACCCACTAGGACCCTTTTCATCTCCATCTTGATTGCTCTGCTGGCGGTGAGCAGATGAAGGGCCTGGGCTAGGTGAAAAGGGTCTGCAGGTGTTTTGAAGAACTGGACCCATGTCCCCACAACACTGTTCCCAGGCAGGGAGGCCAGCAGGCTCTGCAGCCACAGTCACAGGGTGGCCCGGGCAGTGCCGCAGGCTTTGTGTGCTTGCTTGTATTTGAACACCCACACGTGAGGCAGATCATTTATTTATTATTTATTCCTGTTTCACAGAGGGGTAAACTGAGGCTCAGAGGAGAAATGCCCTCAGCCCCACTGATCGTGGAGGTAAGAAAGAGACCCATGGAGTTTCTTCCCTGCGGATCTGACACTTGACAGGACCTAGAGGCTATCAGTGGCTGAAGCTTACAGGGCAGGACAAGGCTAGGACAATTAAGGTCTTGCAGGCTAGGTCAGGGGCCTGCGGTGGGCAGTGGTGAGAGGCTACAGGGGACAAAGTGGTGAGGTGGTGGCAGCAGAGGATCACCCTGTGCCAAGCTCTGCAACGGCTGCCACACCATGAGGATACTTCCAGCTGGGTTTGTGAACTGTGCCCAGCTGCACCCAGGGGACAGGGCGTGTGTCTCTGGCACCGTTTTCTGGGATGTTGTAATTTTGAAAATTTTTTGGGCAGGCCAAGTCTATCTTTGTCAGCAGCTCTGAGTCCCCGCTGTGTCTACCTGCTCTGACTGGGGTCTGTGGGGGGCCTAGCACCAGCGGGCCAAGGGAGGTTGAGAGCCTGCAGCCCAGTTACTGGGGAGCCAGAGTTCTATTAACACTGTTCATTTGGTTCCTGCATAAAATGAAAATCACATCTGCCAGATGCAACCAAGGCATCAGCTTCTACAAGGTATCTCCAAATAAAGAGCGCCCGCCTAGAATCCCCCAGTGAAGGACTGAGGCGCCAGTTCTGCAGCAGAGCGCCTGCCTAGAATCCCCCAGTGAGGGACCGAGGCGCCAGTTCTGCAGCAGAGCGCCTGCCTAGAATCCCCCAGTGAGGGGCCAGGCACCAGTTCTGTGGTAGAGCGCCTGCCTAGAATCCCCCCAGTGAGGGGCCAGGCACCAGTTCTGTGGTAGAGCGCCTGCCTAGAATCCCCCCAGTGAGGGGCCAGGCACCAGTTCTGTGGTAGAGCGCCTGCCTAAGTTCATCCTGAACACCACAAAAATAAATAATTGGTCTTGATCAGTCACCAGACCCTTAACCATCTTAGTCTTACTGTCTGCACAGTGGTCTGGGCTGCCAGTGACCCAAGGGCATTCAGATGTTATTCCCCTGGCTTCTCTAACCTGAATGCACACATGGGGCAGAGCTGGACACAGAACAGGCAAGAGGCACCTGTACCTGCTGTTTAGAGGCGTTTGACCACAGAGAGGAAGAGATTTGCCTGCCTGGGAAGAGACAACGAGCGTCGTTGATGACTACAGTAGACACTTGACGACCATGGCAATTCCAGTCCGGACTCTGCCATCTGGCCTCTACCTGCAGCTCAGAAGTGGCCCCCTTGATTGGGCCCCACGCGTGGTCTGACACCACTGGTATTGTAGAGCCGGTCATTGAACCCTCCTGTCCCCAAAGCTGCAGGCTGAACTATTAGATATGAACTGGAAATGCCTGAGGCAGGCTCTTGTTTTGCATGCTTGTCCCCAACTGGTGGCACACTTTGGAGAATGTGATGCCTTCAGGAAGCGGGGCCAGGCGAGTGGAAGCAGGCACTAGAGGAGAGCCTCCAAAGGTTGTATTGCTGCCTTGGCTCCATCTACAGCACTCTGCTTCTGCTGTTTTCCGCCAGCCTCTGTACTCCGCTCCCCATCAGCCATGATGTGAGCACCTCCCTCGTATACTCCCACTGCCATTAACTCCCCTACAGCTCCCGCTCCATGATGGTCTGACACCATGAGTACAAATAAGTCCTTCCCTCAAGTTGTTCCTGCCAGGCACTGGGGACACATATAAGATCAAACGTCCGTGAACTCAGTAGCAGTCTAGCCCACATGGCATGTAGAGGTCGAAAGCCAACTCTCCCCTCACAGTAGGTGAGTTCCAGGAATTGAACTTGGGCCGTGAGACTTGGCAGCAGGTGCCTTTGCCCTCTGAGCCCTCTTGCGGGCCCAGTTTTTCTGACCCGTACAACAGTAGGCAAAAACAACTCACCACAGTGGCTCACAGAGGCCTCTGGCTGGGGCCTGACCTACCCCTTGGAGGTATCTACACCACACACACTTACGAGCCTTTACTAACCCAAATCCTACAGCCATGCAATCTACAAACTCCTCCTCATCCCAAGGAGCCCAGGGCGATGACTCTTGACTGCCAACCTGACAGAATCTAGACTCTCTGAGCCTGGGCCTGTGAGGGAACTTCTAGATGGGGTGAACTGAGGTGAGAATTCAAACCCCGAAGGTGGGCAGCACCATCCTCCAGGCTAACGCTCCACACTGAATCAGAAGGAGAGCATGGGTGAGGCATTCATCTCTCTCCGATTCCCGGCTGCAGAAGCCATGTTACCAGCCGCCTCCCGTCTCTCCGACCAGTATGGATTCTATCTTCCAACCCTGGTCCAAAACAAACTCCTCCCCCACGGAACTGCTTTTGTCGAGCTGGCATTTTGTCACTAAGAAAAAAGCAAGGCCTAGGGAGCCCAACTCAGTGACACAGTGCTACCTCCTCGGGCAGCCTTCTGAGCATCCTCTCTGAAGGCAGCAGACCCTGCTGTCTCCCATGGCTCCTGGCTAACTCCACACACTTCCGCTAAGGTGTTACGGATGAGGTGTGGCTCATCATGTAGGGTGTTCAGTGCCCAGTATCTCGGTCCTCACAACAGCTCTGCACCTACCACAGAAGGGGAAACTGAGGCTCTAGGGTAAGGTCCAAGGTCCAGAGGAACAGGGAACGGACGCAGCTGGATTCCCAAGTCCACGCTGTCCAGGCCTGTCCACCTAGGGACACAGCCCGGGAGCTGGGCTGGCTTCTTGAGTGTCCAGATTGGAAGCACACAGCAGAGCCGCCAAGAGTGCTCTGGGATTCAAGGCAGGGACCGTGTTTGGCCAAGAGAAGAAAGGAGGATTGTGTATGTCTGAGAGGGGAGGGCAGGGGCGAGCAGGAGAGGGCAGGGACTGGGAGGCGCTGACCTTGCGGTGCTGCTCGTAGTTGCGGATGAAGTCTCGCAGCTGCTCCTCGCGGCTCTCCAGGGTGGCATACAGCTGCTGCATCTGGCTCACCAAGTCGGTCTTCTCGCCCTTTAAGCGCTTCCGGTCGGCTTTCATGGCTATGGACAGTAGAGGGCATTAATTAGCTCCTAGTGCCCTAGCTGTTCCTCTGGGTGCCTTCTGTCAGGTGAGGAGGTGGAGTTCACTTGCTACTGTATCTCTCCTGGACCCCAACACCACAGCAACTGGTAGCCAGGCCTGCTGTGTGAACAGCCCCCTTCTCATCTCTCTGATTTGAGAATCTACAACGGAAGCACCGTGGGACTGCATGGCTAGTGTCAGGGGTTCATACGAAGGGAGGTCCCAACCTTATGGCTGAAATGAGCCCTAGGGTCACCCCCCACCCCAGTCCACAGAACAGCTCAGCCCAGTCCAAGACTCTCTCGCCAGCCTCACTTGACTTTTAACATGTAAGGGTTTAATGACACGCAAGATAAGGCACCAAACATCACAGGTCACATAGGGCTGGGCTCTGCCAAATGAAAACCTCTGTGCCCACAGGGAGACATGGAGAACAGGAAAAGACAGCCCACAGGAGGGAGAAAACACTTGCGAATCCCATATCCAATAAGACACACCTAGAATCTAAAAAATAAATCCCAAGCCAGCAAAACGGCTCAGCTGGTAAACATGCTCACAATCAAGTCTGATGACTTGGGTTTAATCTCCAGAACCCACCTGGTGGAAGAACAGAGCTGACTCCCATAAGCTGTCCTCTGACCTCCATAAATGTACGGTAATGCATACATGATGTGTATATTCTCTCTCTCTCTCTCTCTCTCTCTCTCTCTCTCTCTCTCTCTCAACTAAATGCAATGAAAATGTAAAAAATAAATCCCCACAACTCAAGAATAAAAAGGCAACTGTTGGGGCTGAAGAGATGGCTCAGTGGTTCTGCTCTCGGAGAGGACCAGGGTTCATTTCCCAGCACCTGCCAGGTGGCTCACAACTGCCTCCAATTCAAGTTGCAGAAATCCTGATGGCCTCTTCTGGCCTCTGTGGGCACTGCACTCATATCCACTTGACCATACACGACACCTGTGATGGTTGGTTTTGATTGCCAATGTGACAGGAGTGAGAATTCCTGGGAGATTAGTGAGCACTTACTAGGTGTATATGGGAGGGAAGGCATTCTTCAGAGGCCATTAGATCCCGAGGGCACTGACTTCATCAGTGGCTCTATTCACAGTCTGAATGGAGTATCAGGAGTGGGTGGGGCTGTGGAAGTCATGGCCTAGGTGGAGGAGGTGGGTTGCTCAAACAAGGCCCCTGTTGGTCCTGGCTACTTCCTACTGCCCTCTGCTTCTGGCTTGTCTCGAGAAGAATGGGGAGGCTCTGCCCATGCTGCCATGGCGTTTCATGGCGTTACACTGGTCCCAAAGCAAGGAAGCTCACCAACCATATATGCAAATTCCCAAACCCACAGACCAAAGTAAAGCTTTCTTCCTTTAAAATGGCTTCTCTCTGGTTGTTTATCACAAAGCCTAACAGAACCCATTTATTTATGTATTTATTCTTAAGGTTTACTTGTTTACTATGTACACAGTGTTCTGCCTGCACACCAGAAGAGGGCACCAGATCTCATTATGAATGGTTGTGAGCCACCATGTAGTTGCTGGGAATTGAACTCAGGACCTGTGGAAGAGCAGTCAGTGCTCTTAACCTCTGAACCATATCTCCAGCCCACACAACTCATTTACATATTAAAAAAGAGAAGACATCCCACTTTTAAAAAGAGGTGAAGGATCTTTATAACAGCTGTCCAAGAAATGACTAGAAGGTATAGAATGAAATGCAGATTAAAGCCACAAGGAGGGCCACTTTCCCTTCTGGTTGGGCTAAAATTAAACAGACAATAATGAGTGTTGGCTGGACCTGGGAGAAACTGGACCCCTAGCATGTCCTCACATAGGCTGGGCTATACAAAATGCAGACGCCTTGGAAAACAGCCTGGCACTTTCTCAAAAAACCAAACATACACTCACGTTCACTACCAGAAATACACCAAAGATGAAGAAAACCACCAGGCTGGAGACAGAGCTCAGCTGGTAAAATGATTACCTTGCATGCACCAGGTCCACCATCCCTGCATTTCACGAACCAGACATGGTGGTTCATGCCTGCAATCCCAGCACTCAGAAGGCAAAAGCAGGAGAAACAGGAGCTCAAGTTTGAATTTGAGGCTAGCCTGATAGAGAAATCTGACCTCAAAATGAAAGAGAAGTGAAGGGGGGGGGGAGAGAGAACACCAAAACCAAATGTAAATTCTATACACAGGGGCTGGAGAGAAGGCATGCCCACTAAGAGCATGCACTGCTCTTGCGGAGGACAAGAGTTTAGTTCCCAGCTGTACTTCAACTGCCTCACAACTGCCTGGAACTCCAGTTCCAGGGATTCTGGCGCCCTCTTCTGACCATCATGGAAACCTACACTCATGGGAACCCACACATATATATGATTAGAAATAAATATTTAAGAAACCTCTGCATATAAGCAAGTGTTAGTCATAATAAGCAAAATCCAAATGTTCAGCCGGGGACAGTGAATGACAAAAAGAGACCCATCGACACAGTGATGCATGACTTAACCATGAAATGCTACCTGACAGCAGCCAGGTGCAGTCGGTCACTGACGGCTACACATTGTGAGTCCCCTGCCTCCAAATGTCCCCAAGAGGAAACACAGGGAGACAGAGCAGAGAAGCTGATGGAGAAGACAGGGATGTGGGGTGGCTACAAAGGGTGGGAGCTTTCTCTGAGGTGAGGCGGTTCTAGCGCCCGACTGTCTGAAGCTCTAACTCTGACCATGCTGAATATCACAGCCCCATGAAATTCAAGTGGATGAACTGGGACCTAGGTGAACTCAGTCTCAAAGCTGTTCAAACCAGACCAAACAGGTTATGCACACCTCATCATCTTGTTCCGCACATACAATCCTGCAGGCTCAGTCTGTGTGCATGAAGGAATTAGGGCCAGGGGCAGACCCCAGGAACCAAGAACCCTAGCTCCTGGCAGCCAAAGTAAGCTAATGTCTTCTGGCCCTCCTGCCCTCTGGCCTCTCTCCCTGGGTAGAAGAGGTGGGAGGTGGGGCATCTGGGGCCATGCCACTGTACACAGAGAGCCACAGGGAGCCCCACGCAGTGGGAACTCTAGGGCTAGTCGGCATTCTGAATTCCAACTTTGAGCCTCCTGCTGAATCCTGCTGACTCTTGTCCTCTCTGCAGCCAGCTTGGCTGCATGGCAGCTGAGGTCACTAGGGCTGGCTTTCCAGACCTGCTGAGCTGAAAGCTTGCAGGGTGGAGCTGAGGACACAGCAGGGCCAGCTCTGTGTCCTGCCTCCAACACGGCATAGCATATTACGGTGGAATGGGACTTGAAGAAACAAAGGCGTGATGGCTTATGAAGGTGCTTGCCACCGTGTCTGACAACTTGCGTGGGAACCCTGGGACACACATGGTGGGAGAGGAACACACACCACAAATAAATAAATAAAACGATAAGGGAAAGAAACTCCAAGACCTGACAAAGTCACCTAGTCAGCAAGCACCCTCCAGGCAATCCTGGGCCAGCACCACACGGCATTCCCCACCTGCCATTGGCTGGCATTTCAGGTCCATTTTTATAGAAAGGGATGGATGAGTCCTCTTATCCCATTCCAGAGAAGCCATTCTGGCCACAGAGCCAGGTAGGGCAGAGCTGGGGTGCACAAGCATTGACGGTCTGGCTTATTTTAGGTTGGCAAGTATGACTGTGGTAAGAGGCACTGTGGGGCAGAGAGAGTGTCCCTGAGGTCTTGGCTGGTCCCCCCAATCCTTGCCACCTTTGTCCTTTGGTTAGAAACCGAGGCCCTAGGATTCTGATTTGCCCCATCGTAAGCTTTATCAAAGTCCGGCAGTGGTGGTGCACGCCTTTAATTCCAGCACTGGAGAGGCAGGATCTCTGTGAGTTCCAGGTCAGCCTGGTCTACGGAATTGAGTTCCAGGACAGTCAGGGCTACACAGAAACCCTTACTTGAAAAACAAAGCAAATAAACAACAAAGCTTTATTCAGCAAGAATCAGCCTTTGCTCTCGGCTGCTTGCAGACCCACTGGGGTTGGGATGCCTTGAGACTAGACAGCATGCACGTGTTTGAGGGGCTCCCCATGATGCACAGTCCAAGGTATTCCCAACTCACAGGATGTGGGGACCTGCTCTGAGGCACCACTTCTGGTCTCTCCTCTGGTCCCAGCTCACAAGTGCTCCTGCAGCATCTGAACCCTGCCCAACTCCAGGCTGAACCCCGACGGGCTTTGGAAACAGAATCTAAGCAAGCTTAATCTCTGGGAATGAAGGTCACGTTTAAGCCAACCCAACCTATGTGTATGAACTCCTTTTCTGTGGCTGTGGTAGGATGGCCTGACCAAACAACCTAGGCCCAGCTCTTGGGAGGCAAAGGCAGGAGGATCTCTGTAAGTTTGAGGTCAGTTTGGTCTACAAAGAGAGTTCCAGGACAGCTAGGGCTACACAGAGAAACCCTGTCTCAGAAAACAAAAAACAAACAAACAAACAAAACAAAACAAAGAGAGTGACTTAGGAAAGGGTTCACTTTAGCCTATGGTTCCAGAGGGAGGGAGTCCATCTTGGTGGGTAGGCATGGAAACAGGCAGAGAAAGCCTGGCAGCAGGAACAGGGAGCTCCCATACACAGGAAGGAGAGAGAGACACACACACACAACAGGAAGTGGATCAGGGCTAGGAACTCTCAAGGCCCATCCCCAGTGACTACTTTCCTCAGCAAGACTCCACCTCCTAAAAGTTCCACAACCTCCCTAAAGGGTGCCACCAACTGGGGACTGAGTAATCAAATACATGAGCCTATGGGGAGATCATTTTTCACTCAGTGTAAACATGGAGACCAGTGTCCAGTCAACACAGGCTTTCTAAAGCACACATGGACAGAGTTAAGACTGTGGTACCCTGGATCTGTCATCTGCCATGTAAGCCCCACTGAAGGAAACTGGCAGGGAGACTCTGGGAACCCCTAGGATGCTATACCAGTTCCAGGTAAGGAAGTTGGTATG